AAAAGCCTGGCTTAAAATTCAACATTCAAAAAAACTAAGATCATGGCATGCAGTCCCATCACTTCATGGCAAATAGATGGGGAAAATGTAGAAGCAGTGACAGATTTTATTTTCTTGGGCTCCAAAATCACTGTGGATGGTGACTGAAGCCACACTGTTAAAAGACCCCTGTTCCTTGGAAGGAAAACTATGACAAACCTCAGTTCAGTCGCTCAGTCATATCCAACTCTTTGCGACCCCATGAATTGCAGCACACCAGGCTTCCCTGTCCATCTCAAACTCATGCTCATCGAGTCGGTGATGCCATCCAGCCATCTCATCCTCTGTCGTCCCCTTCTCCTCCTGCCCCCAATCCCTCCCAGCATCAGGGTCTTTTCCAATGAGTCAACTCTTTGCATGAGGTGGCCAAAGTATTGGAGTTTTAGCTTCAGCATCAGTCCTTCCAATGAACACCCAGGACTTATCTCCTTCAGGATGTACTGGTTGGATCTCCTTGCAGTCCAAGGGACTCTCAAGAGTCTTCTCCAACACCATAGTTCAAAAGCATCAATTTTTCGGCACTCAGCTTTCTTCACAGTCCAACTCTCACATCCATACATGACCACTGGAAAAACTACAGCCTTGACCAGACGGACCTTTGTTGACAAAGTAACGTCCCTGCTTTTTAATATGCTATTGAGGTTGGTCATAACTTTCCTTCCAAGGAGTAAGTGTCTTTTAATTTCATGGCTGCAGTCACCATCTGCAGTGATTTTTGGAGCCCCCAAAAATAAAGTCTGACACTTGCTTCCACTGTCTCCCCATCTATTTCCCATGAGGTGATGGGACCAGATGCCATCCATGATCTTAGTTTTCTGAATGTTGAGCTTTAAGCCAACTTTTTCACTCTCCTCTTTCACTTTCATCAAGAGGCTTCTTAGTTCCTCTTCACTTTCTGCCATAAGGGTGGTGTCATCTGCATATCTGAGGTTATTGATATTTCTCACGGCAATCTTGATTCCAGCTTGTGCTTCTTGCAGCCCATTGTTTCTCATGATGTACGCTGCATAGAAGTTAGATAAGCAGGGTGACAATATACAGCCCTTGACGTACTCCTTTTCCTATTTGGAACCAGTCTGTTGTTCCATGTCCAGTTCTAACTGTTGCTTCCTGACCTGCATACAAGTTTCTCAAGAGAATAGGGATAACCACTAGACCATTCAGATATGACCTAAATCAAATCCCTTATGAATATACAGTGGAAGTTAGAAATAGATTTAAGGGACTAGATCTGATAGACAGAGAACCTGATGAACTATGGACGGAGGTTTGTGACATTGTACAGGAGACAGGGATCAAGTCTATCCCCATGGAAAAGAAATGCAAAAAGGCAAAATGGTTGTCTGAGGAGGCCTTACAAATAGCTGTGAAGAGAAGAGAGGCAAAAAGCAAAGGAGAAAAGGAAAGATATTCCCATTTGAATGCAGAGTTCCAAAGAATAGCCAGGAGAGATAAGAAAGGCTTCCTCAGCGGTCAATGCAAAGAAATAGAGGAAAACAACAGAATGGCAAAGACTAGAGATCACTTCAAGAAAATTAGAGGGAACATTTCATGAAAAAATGGGCTCAATAAAGGACAGAAATGGTATGGACCTAACAGAAGCAGAAGATATTAAGAAGTGGAAAGAATGCACAGAAGAACTGTACAAAAAAGATTTCCATGACCCAGATAATCACAATGATGTGATCACTCACCTAGAGTCAGACATCCTGGAATGTGAAGTCAAGTGGGCCTTAGAAAGCATCACTATGAACAAAGGTAGTGGATGTGATGGAATTCCAGTTGAGCTATTTCAAATCCTGAAAGATGATGCTGTGAAAGTGCTGCACTCAGTATGTCAGCAAATTTGGAAAACTCAGCAGTAGCCACAGGACTGGAAAAGGTCCGTTTTCATTCCAATCCCTAAGAAAGGCAATCCCAAAGAATGCTCAGACTACCGCACAATTGCACTCATCTCACACGCTAGTAAAGTAATGCTCAAAATTCTCCAAGCCAGGCTTTAGGAATATGTGAACCGAGAACTTCCAGATGGTCAAGCTGGTTTTAGAAAAGGCAGAGGAACCAGAGATCAAATTGCCAATACCTGCTGGATGATAGAAAAAGCAAGAGAGTTCCAGAAAAACATCTGTTTCTGCTTTATTTACTATGCCAAAGCCTTTGACTGTGTGGATCACAATGACAAACCTAGACAGGATTAAAAAGCAGACGAGGGTCTGCTTTGTCAACACTTTGCTGACAAAGGTCTGTCTACTCAAAGCTGTGGTTTTCCCAGTAGTTATATATGGATGTGGATGTTGAAGCACAAGCTGGAATCAAGATTGCTGGGAGAACTATCAGTAACCTCAGATATGCATGTGAAACCACCCTTATTCAATTCACAGTTCAGTTCAGTTGCTCAGTTGTGTCCAACTCTGTGCTATCTCATGACTGCAGCACACCAGGCCTCCCTGTCCATCACCAACTCCAGGAGCTTACTCAAACTCATGTCCATTGAGTTGGTGATGCTATCCAACCATCTTATCCTCCGTCGTCCCCTTCTCCTCCTGCCTTCAATCTTTCCCACCCTCAAGGTCTTTTCAAATGAGTCAACTCTTCACATCAGGTGGCCAAAGTATTGGAGTTTCAGTTTCAGCATAAGTCCTTCCAATGAATATTCAGGACTGATTTCCTTTAGGATGGACTGGTTTGATCTTGCAGTCCAAGGGACTCTCATGAGTCCTTTCCAACACCATAGTTCAAAACCATCAATTCTTCGGTGCTCAGGTTTCTTTATAGTCCAACTCTCACATCCATACATGACTACTGGAAAAACAATGGCTTTAACAAAACAGACCTTTTTTGGCAAAGTAACGTCTCTGCTGTTTAATATGCTGTCTAGGTTGGTCATAGCTTTTCTTCCAAGGAGCAAGTGTCTTTTAATTTCATGGCTGCAGTCACTGTCTGCAGTGATTTTGGAGCCCCCCAAAATAAAGTCTCTCACTGTTTGTATTGTTTTCCCATCTATTTGCCATGAGGTGATGGGCCCAGATGCCATGATCTTAGTTTTCTGAATGGTTTGAACCAGCTTTTTCATTCTCCACTTTACTTTCATCAAGAGGCTCTCTAGTTCTTCTTTGGTTTCTGCCATGAGTGTGGTGTCATCTGTATATCTGAGGTTACTGATATTTCTCCTGGCAATCTTGATTTTAGCTTGTGCTTCCTCCAGCCCAGCATTTCTCATGATGTACTCTGCATATAAGTTAAATAAGCAGGGTGACAATATACAGCCTTGACATACTCCTTCTCTGACTTGGAGCTGGTCTCTTCCATGTCCAGTTCTAATTGTTGCTTCTTGACCTGCATACAGATTTCTCAGGAGGCAGGTCAGGTGGTGTGGTATTTCCATTTATTTAGGAATTTTCCACAGTTTGTTGTGATCCACACAGTCAAAGGCTTTGGCATAGTCAATAAAGCAGAAATAGATGTTTTTCTGGAACTCTCTTGCTTTTTCGATGATCCAGCGGATATTGGCAATTTGATCTCTGGTTCCTCTGCCTTTTCTAAAACCAGCTTGACCATCTGGAAGTTCTCGGTTCACATATTCCTAAAGCCTGGCTTGGAGAATTTTGAGCATTACTTTACTAGCGTGTGAGATGAGTGCAATTGTGCGGTAGTCTGAGCATTCTTTGGGATTGCCTTTCTTAGGGATTGGAATGAAAACGGACCTTTTCCAGTCCTGTGGCCACTGCTGAGTTTTCCAAATACCACCCTTATGGCAGAAAGCAGAAAAGAACTAAAGAGCCTCTTGATCAAGGTGAAAGAGGAGAGGGAATATACTGGGTTAAAACACAGCATTCAAAAGGCTAGGATCATGGCATCCGGTCCCATCACTTCATGTTAGTAGATGGGGAAACAATGGGAACAGTGCAGACTTTTTTTTTCTTGGGCTTCAGAATCACTGTGAATGGAGACTGTATCCATGAAATTAAAAGACACTTGCTCCTTGGAAGAAAAACTATGACAAACCTAGGCAGCATATTAAAAAGCGGAGACATTAGTTTGCCAACAAAGGTCCGTCTAGTCAAGGCTATGGTTTTTCCGGTAGTTACGTATGGATGTGAGAGTTGCTCCATGAAGAAGGCTGAGCGCCGAAGAATTGATGGTTTTGAACTGTGGTGTTGGAGAAGACTTTTGAAAGTCCCCTGGACTGCAAGGAGATCAAACCAGTTAATCCTGAGGGAAATCAGTCTTGAATACCCATTGGACAGACTGATGCTGAAGCTCCAATATGTTGACCACCTGATGTGAAGAGCCGACTCAAGAAAAGACCTTGAGGGTGGGAAAGATTGAAGGCAGGAGGAGAAGGGGACGACAGGACAAGATGGTTGAATGGCATCACTGACTCATTGGACATGAATATCAGCAAGTTCTGGGAGATGGTGAAGGACAGGGAAGCCTGGTGTGCTGCAGTTCTCGGGGTCGCAGATAGTCAGACATGACCGAGCGACTGAATCACAACAAATATGGATGTGAGAGTTGGATCATAAAGAAGGCTTGTGCATCAAAGAATTGGTTCTTTTGAACTATTGATCATATCAATAGATGCATAGAAAGCCTTTGAGAATATGCAATACCCATTTATGATTAAAAACTCTTCAGAAAGTAGGCATACCTTAACATAATCAAGGCCATATACAGCAGACCCACAGCAAACATCCTAAATGGTGAAAAGCTGAAAGCATTTCCTCTAAAGTCAGGAACAAGTTAAGAGTGTTCACTCTCACCACTATTATTGAACATAATTTTCTTAGTCCTAGCCATAGCAATCAGAGAAGAAAAATAGTAGAAATCCACATTGGAAAAGAAGAAGTAAAGAAATCAAAACCTTTTAACAGCAGTTCACATGTCAGAATTGACTTTTAGACATATAGCTTTTTATTCATTTTAACCAGTTACTGACATTTTGTTTTTTGCTTTCCCAGGCAGTTGTTCAAGGGGATTTTCAAAGAGCATCTGCTTATATACTACGCTGTAAAGATATGTTGATGAGGCTTCCCCACATGGTAAGTGAAATCTCTGTGTTCATTCTCTATGAGTTTGAAAATACACAATATCATGTTCTAGGAAGACTCATAACTACTTCATGTGATCCTATAGAGTTTATATTTTGTATAAGATTTACTTACTTAGCCAAGATTTGCAATATTTTGCTTCTTTTGTTCTTTAATAGAACAGGTGTTCTAAAAGTGATAGAGGTTACTTCTTAACATTTCTTTGCTTTCCCTTTTATTGTCAAAACGCTTTGGTAATATTTCCTCCATATGTCATGGTATGTGATGAAAGAAAGAAAAAATGAGTTTATTGCCCTACTGACAAGGTTGATAGCAGCTATTCATATCATTGCCATAGTATTCTTCTACATTGGGATTTGGAGGTGTGAGCAGTTTGATAGGATAAATAAAACCTGTTTCTCAGACTGGAGTTCATCAATATTCCAGAGTAGATAATTTTTAATTTTTCCACTTTACTTCCCTTTTCCATTCTTTCTCACCTATTTCTGGCCTGTGCTTACTTCAGTCTTTACTGTTACAGAGGAGACTGATACTGGTATCAGGATGGTCTCAGGGCTCCATCATGTACCTTTATGTGAAACTGGTCTTACTTTTCTCTCAAATTCTATGTTATAATGTTGAACTTAATTCAGTAACTATTTACATATTGCTAATATTATGTGGAGGTACTCTTCTAGTCTTTAAAAAAATTAAAAACAATTTCACAGTTACAAAACTGTAAATTTTACAAAGAATTTCTATATACTCTTTGCCCTGAGACCTAGTTGAAGTTTTTCACTACTGTTCTTTACACAAAATGGATTCTATCTAGGATTCACTTAAGTCTCTAGTCTCTTTCACTGGAAAACCTCCTCACTCTTGCCTTGACTTTCATGACCTTGGCAATTTTGAAGGTTCCAGAAGAGCCATTTTGTACAATGTGACTTAATTTATTTTTCAGAAATTAAAAAGAAATTTTATTGAGGTATATTTGACATATAACACTGTATAAATTTGAGGTATTTCACATGTTGATTTGATGCACTTTCAATTTGCAGTATGGTTACTGGAGTAGTGTTAGCTAACACCTTTATCATGTCACATAAATGTCATTTTTTTTGGTTGAGAAAAGTCAAGATCCAATTCCTTAGCAATTTAAAAATTTACAGCACAGTATTATTGACTATAATCACTATGTTGTACAGTAGATTTCCAGAAATTATCTACTAGCTGCAAGTTTAAACCCTTAAACGATGTCTCCCCAATTCCCTCTCTATAACCAAATTAGGGTTTGTTAAGAGATTAGAGTAGGTTATGAATTTGGGGCCAGAAAATCACAGAAATGATTCTGTTGTGTGACATACAAGATAGATTTATTCTGTTGGTGGTGGTGCTAATTTTGATCTCTTGGTTAAAATGGTGTCTTACAGGTTTCTCCAGTGTAAACTTATGTATTTTTTCCCTTTGTTGTTCCTAAGTGTGAGATGATACTCTGAGACTTTGTAAAATCCAGTTTCTCATCCAACTTTCACTATCTGTTGAGATTTCCTGCCTAAATTGGTCCTGTGATGTTGACACCTGGCTCTTTTTCTAATTCTATCCTTCTTTCTATATTTATTAGGTGACATTCTACTATAATTTTTTATTGAGCTAAAATATGTGTAACATAAAATTTGCCATTTTAACAATTTTTAAGCATGCAATTCAGTGGCACTAAGTACATTAACAGTGTTATATAACCATCATCACTCTGTACTGATAGAAACTCTGTACTCATTACACAAATACTGCCTCCCCTGGTAACCTCTAATTTACTTTCTGTCTCTGTGAATTTGCTTGTTCTAGATATTTTATATAAATGGAATCGTATAATATTTATCCTTTTGTGTCTGACTTATTTCATTTAGCATTAATATTTTCAAGGTGCGTATCATGGCATGTATCAGAACTGGAGTGCTTTCTATGGCTGAATAATATTTCATAGATAAACCTTTTGTTTATCTGTTTATCTGTTCAAAAATTTTATCTGTTCATCAACTGATATATACTAGAGTTGTTTCCACCTTTTGGTTACTGTGAATAATGCTGCAATGAACATTGGTATACAAATATCTGAATCACTGCTTTTAGTTGTTTTAATCTAAGACTTGAATGGTTGGTAATATGGTAATTTTATGTTTAACTTTTCGATGAACCACCAAACTCTTTTTCATAGTGGCTGTACCATTTTACATTCCCACCAACAGTTGAATTTGGGTTCCAGTTTCTCCACACCCTCAGCAACACTTGTTATTTTCTGGGCTTTTATTTTTTTTTTTTCCATTTTATTTCTTTATTTATGTATTTTTGGCTGCACTGGGTCTTGGTTGCTTTTGTACAGGCTTTCTCTAGTTGCGGAGAGTGAAGTCTAATCTTCTTTGTGTTGCACAAACTTCTCACGGTAGTGGCTTCTCTTGTTGCAGAGCATAGGCTCTAGGCACACAGGTTTTAGTAGTTTCAGCATGAAGGCTCAGTAGTTATGGCTCATGGGTTCAAGAGCATGGGCTCAGTTGTTGTGGCATACAGGCTTAGCTTCTCTGAGGCATGTGAGATCTTCCCACAGGAGTCAAATCCATATCCCCTGCATGGGCAGGAAGATTCTTATCCATGGTGCCACCAGGGAAGTCTCTAAGGAGACATTTCTAAAATATAATTATTCTGAAAGAGTTTACTCACAAGCTCTTCTCTCATTTACATTTACCTTAAAGTTTCATCATATCAAGTTATTTTCCTTGCAACAGATACATTGTCTGGTTGTTGTTTAGCCACTGTGTTGTGTCTCACTCTTTTGAGACCCTATGAACTGTAGCCCACCAGGTTCCTCTATCCATGGGATTGCCCAGGCAAGAATACTGGAGTGGGTTGCCATTTCCTTCTCCAATTTTCTGGGCTTTTAAAAAAATTACTATTAAAGCCATCTTAGTAGGTGTGAAGTGGTTTCTCATTGTGCCTTTGGCTTGCATTTCCCTACTAACTAATGACATTAAGCATCTTTTCATGTGCTTACCAATTATTTTTATAGCTTCCTTGGGACATATGTATTAAAGTCCTTTGATCTTTTAAAATGGGGATTTTTTAAGATTACAACTATATTAATATATTTTAAATGTTGTTATAAATAGTGTTACAAATTGCTGAACATTAAAATATTTAGCATTTCTACTGGTGCCAGTTTTTACAAAATGCTATAAACTAAACTGTGTTCCTTCTTGCCCCAAATTCATCTGCTGAAGCCTTAACTCTCAATGTGTATGGTGTTAGGGTTTTGGGCAGGTAATTAAGCTTAGATGAGGTAGGGCCTTCATGGTGGAGTTAGTACCCTTATAAGAAGGGCACCAGAGAACTTACTTTTCTCACATCCTTTACCGTATCATGCAAGAAGGCAGCTCTGGGAGGAGAGCCTTCACCATAGAAAAGTGATGGTTAAACTTTAATTTTGGATTTTCTAACCTTCAGAACTGTAAGAAATTCTTTACTGCTGTTTATTTGTTTTTTTTTTTATTTTTATTTTTTCTTTATTTTTTTTCCCATTTATTTTTATTCGTTGGAGGCTAATTACTTTACAGTACTGTAGTGGTTTTTGCCATAAATTGACATGAATCAGCCATGGATTTACATGTGTTCCCTATCCCGATCCCCCCTCCCACTATTAACTACTGTTTAAATAAAAATAAAGTTGGGCTGTTTTTCCTGCAGTGAAGTATCACCTCACTCTGGTCAGAATGACCATCATTGAAAAGTCTACAAATAATAAATGCTGGAGAGGATGTGGAGAAAAAGGAACCCTCCTACCATGTTGGTGGGAATGTAAATTGGTGCAGCTACTATGGAGAACAGTATGGAGGTTGCTTAAAAAACTAGGAATAAAACTACCATGTGACCAAACAATCCCACTACTGGGCATATACTCTGAGGAAACCTTGATAGAAAAAGATATATGCACTCAAGTGTTCATTGTAACACTATTTATAAATAGCCATGACATGGAAACAACGTTAAGTGTCCATCGACAAATGAATGGATAATGATGTGGTGTGTATACACAATGGAATATTACTCAGCCATAAGAAATAATGAAATAATGCTGTTTGCAGTAACATGGATGGACCTAGAGATTAACATGCTAAGTGAAGTAAGCCAGACAAAGACATACATCGTATGATATTGCTTATATGTGAAATCTGATAAAGATACTAATGAGCTTATTTAAGACAGAAACAGGCTTAGAGACAGAAAACAAACTTATGGTTACCAGAAGGAAAAGGCCGGGAGGGATAAATTAGGTGGTTGGGATTAACATGCATCTACTACTGTTTATATAAAATAGATAACCAACAAGGACCTGCTGTATAGCACAGAAAACTATATTCCATACACTGTAATAACCTATAAGGGAAAATATTGTCTGGAAAAAAAAAAAAGAAAATAATGTCTGTGTGTACACACACAACTACCTCATCCTCTGTCGCCCCCTACTCTTCCTGCCTTCTGTCTTTCCCAGCATCAGGGTTTTTTCCAGTGAGTCAGCTCTTTGCAGCAGGTGGCCAAAGTATTGGAGCTTCAGCTTCAGCAAGTCCTTCCAATGAATATTCAGGGTTGATTTCCTTTAGGATTGACTGGTTTGATCTCTTTCCTGTCTAAGGGACTCTCAAGAGTCTTCTGCAACACCACAGTTCAAAAGCACAATTCTTTGGCGCTCATCCTTCTTTGGGGCTTCCCTGATAGCTCAGTTGGTAAAGAATCTGTCTGCAATGCAAGAGATCCCAGTTTAATTCCTGGGTTGGGAAGATTTGCTGGAGAAGGGATAGGCTACCCACTCTAGTATTCTTGAGCTCCCCTTGTGGCTCATCTGGTAAAGAATCTGCCTGCAATGTGGGAGACCTGGGTTTCTTCCCTGGATGGGGAAGATTGCCTGGAGAAGGGGAAGGCTACCCACTCCAGTGTTCTGGCCTAAGAATGAAAGAGTTGAACAT